CCAGATTCCCGAGTCCCCTCACCCTGTTCTAGTTTTCCTTTTACTCCCTAGCATTTATCACCTAACACACAGTATCACTTACTCATGGTCATTGACAGTCTCCCTAGCTAGAATGTAAATTTCTTTATCTATGCTCATTTTATTCCCAAGCATGTAAAACAAGGCCTAGTGCATAGTAGGTGCTCAGTAAACATTTGCTGACTTGATTTCACTCTGTGTACCAGTGTTCCTCCCACGGGCACTGCATATATAAGTAAGTTTGGGAAAGAGAATATATTCTCCAATTGAAAGGCATTGCAGAAGAAGGACTTTTCAAGTTGAATTTCTTGGTGATCTACAAATGCCAGCAGAACTCTCCACCTTCTCCGTGCATGAAGCTGGACTTAAGCCCAAGACAAGAGGAGGACAAGAGTTCCCAGAGGAACTGCTATGTTTCTTTGAAGGTATCAAAAACGGCAGAGAAAGGGCAGCACTGCCCACTGAGCAGCAGTTATCAGGCAGGGTCAAGGGCCATTCTCCTTGCCCATGTCCCCGGACCTGGGCACCCTTGACCAACTGAGGTCACCCACAGAGACCATGCACCCACTTACAAATTGCTTTGATGATGCTGCCGTACTTGAACTTGGTCCCATACAGAGAGGCCAGGGCCGTCACAGCAGATTTGGCCAGCTGATCCTGGAGAAAACGCCAAGCAAGACAAACCTGTCATGGCCAGCAACACCAGGCCCCCAGAACAGCAGGGCCAGGGGAGCCCAGGGGCTGACAGGGTGACCCAGGAACATGCACCATACAGAAGCAGGTCCCCAGCGGAGAACACCGGGCCTGCTAGGGTGTGGAGGGCCAGCTCCTTCCCCAGCTCAAAGGCCCGTGATCCTCCGACCCTGCAGGATGTCCGGCTGGCACTTCGCTGCCTTTTGGTCATCCTGCAGCCCCAAGTGTGAACTTGAGGTGTAAGCGAGCCCCTCCTCTCACTCTGTCATGTGCCTCGGTTGAGTGTCACTCAACCACTCTGTGCCTCGGTTTCCCAGACAGAAAGTAAGGCTAGTCTGCCTTGGCTGGTTTGGCTCAGTGGTTAGAGCACCAGCCTGTGGACCCAAGGGTCGCAGGTTCGATTTCCCGTCAAGGGCATGTACCTCGGTTGCAGGTTCCATCCCCGGCCCGGTTGGGGCACATGTGGAAGGCAACCAATCGATGTGTCTCCCTCACATCAGTGTCCCTCTCTCTCGCTCTCCCTCCTTCCTCCCTTCCATTCTCTCTGAAAAGCAATGGGAAAAAATATCCTCAGGGGAAGATTTTTTTAAAAAAGTGCCCGGCCAAGCGTGGATCAGCGGTTGAGTGTCAACCTAGGATCCAGGCGATCGGGGTTCGATTCCCAGTCAGGGCACATGCCCGGGTTGCGGGCTCGATCAATGACTCTCTCATCATTGATGTTTCTATCTCTCTCTCTCTCCCCCTCTCCTTTCCTCTCTCTGAAATCAATAAAGATATATTTTAAAAAAAAAAAAAAAGTAAGGCCACCAGGGGCCCAGGGAGGAACAGAGCGTTAAAAATCATGCAGGCGCTCGTGCCTTAAGCAGATCTGATGGACAAAGCCCTAGGCCTGCCCAAAGCTGCCTTTGGGAGAGGAGGGCAAGCGGGGGCGAGCACATACCAGCTCAGCCTGGTCGCTGGCTGGTTCTGTGGTATAGCCATAGGGATAGAGGAGGAGCTGGGAGTAGCTGTGGATGGAGATGAAGGCCTTGATGTTCCCATGGTTCTTCACAAAGTCCACGATGGACTTGACCTCCTTTTCGGAATTGGCAAACTTGCCATGGTAAGTCTCCGAGCAGGGGTTGCTGCTGGCTCCGGCCTCTGCGGGAGGAGAGAGGGGGTCGTTGGCATTCCTTACAGCGACAAAGGTGGGTGGGAAGGCATTTCCAGTGGTCCCATCCCTGCTCCCCAGAGCACACTGGGCCTTACTCCCAAAGCCGGCGTCCCAGTTCCGGTTGGGGTCCACCCCAACACAGGAGGAGCCTGCTGTGATGGATCGAGTCTTGCGCCACAAGCGGTTCTGAGGAAGGAAGGGGACACTTGTCAGTCACCATCACCGCGCTAGCCTGGGGCTCAGAGCCCATAGGGAGCAGTGTGGGCTGGAGCGGCCTCGATCAACACAAAGCACCCGATCCGGAGCTCGGGTGTGGACACAGCACGGGATCAGAAACCACTTTCAACTGGTTGTCAGGGAGGAAGGTGTCCAAAAGGGGGTCTTGGTTGAGGGAGAATGGAGGAGACAATGGATGGCATTTGGCCAGAGGTTCTTCTGGTGGAAAGTGAAAATGGCCTGAGGTGCCTCCACCCCCATACACATTTGATTGGTAGCATGAAGTACCTGCCATAAAAATAAAATAAAACTAGGAAGTAAGGACTGGGGCAGTGGGTCTCCACTGGGACAGTTTTGTCCCCCCACACCCGGACATTTGGCAATGTCTGGAGACATTTTGGTGGTCTCAACTGGAGGGTTGCTGTTGGCATCTCATGAGTACTTGTCAGGGTGTGCTAAGCACTCGGCATGCACAGGACAGCCCCCCACAAAGAATTATCTGCCCAAAAAGTCAAGAATGCCGAGGTTGAGAACCCTGGTCTAGGGAGGCAAATCTATTTGCCCTTCCCTTGATTTCTGGAGCTTGAGCATAAGGACAAGTGACTTGGTCTCAGGGACCAGAGCCCACCCTGCTTTCCCCAAGAAGAGAAGGCGTATACCTTGCTGTGGGTGAAGGCAAAACCATCAGGGTTGGTGACAATCTCCAGGAAGATGTCCATTTTGTCAAGAATGGCGGTGAAAGCAGGGTTTTGGCCATAGTCCTGTGTGATCTGGTGGGGGGGTTGGAGGCAGAGAGGCAGAGTGGGCCAGGTCAGGCACCCACCCTGCTAGAGCAGTAGACACCTGCCCTCCGCCTCCCTCTGCGGTCACCGTTTCAGGATGGGGAGGGGAGGCCAGGGCTTCTGTGAGCCTCAGACACCAGTGACCCACTGGGCCAGAGCCCCCCTCCGTTCCCCAGGCTTACCTTCTTTGCAAACCAGATGCCGCTGGCCTGAGTGACCCACTCCCGGGAATGGATACCAGTGTCGATCCAGATGGCGGGACGGTTGTTTCCCCCAGTGCTGAACTAAGCGAGAAGAACAGAGAGGTGGTCCAGCTGGGGCCTGCTCTCACCTCCTTGAAGGGAAATGCACCCGGGCCAGAGGCCACCTGCTCTCTGGGTATCACAGGCTGAGGGGCCATCACTGAGGCGGGACTGGGGGCGTGGGCTGGATGGGGACCCACAGAACTTGGCCTCCTGCCTTCAGCCCAAGCTTGGGGCAAACATGATTCAGCCAGACTTCCAGACCCCACCCTGTTCCTCCGTCGGAGATCACAAACAAGACATGTTATCTGGATTACCCCAACTCCAGGATAATTTCCACGTGTGACACTTGATTGGAAACACTTGGGTCACTTAAAAGTTTAAATTGTGCGTACAGGTATGCACACACCTAGGCCAGCATGGAAATTCAGACCTTCCCAAATGTGGGCTCGGGGAGTTGGTCAACAGTGTGTTCCCTGTGACCATGGGCTCACCCTACAGGCACACGTGGGCGCCCATTCTTGCACACGTGCCCGTGTACACCCATAGGCAGGCGCCCATTACCTTCAGCACGTAGATGGGACGGCCTTCAAAGGTGCTGCCGATCTGGAGCTTGCTGACCAGCTGTGGGTGCTCAGCCACCAGCATATCCATGAAGCCATAGATCTGAGAAGGGAGAGGGTGGAAGGCCAGCTTTAACGGCTTCCAGGTGCCCAGATGCCTCCCTTAACAGCTCCATTAACCGGCCAGCTGTGAGCCCTGCACTATGGAAGAGCCACGGCCCAGACCTCCCAGGCCACACGGAGACAGGGCAGGTGCCACCCACACCCAGGCTCTGGCCGGATTCCGCCAGCCTGACGCAGAGCCTGGTGCCCGTGGGGCCTGGCCCCAGAGGTCCCTCACCTCCTCCAGGGTGTGGTAGGTGGCATAGTTAAAGGTGTCGGTGGAGGCGGCCCGGGCCTGGAAGGCAAACATCTGCTCCTCTTCTTCGTCCAGCAGCGACTGCACATCCTCGATCATGACCGTGTACTCGATGCCATGGGCCTCCAGGAAGACTTTGACGGCCTGGAGGCTGGGGAAGGGCACTCGGACATCGATGGGGGAGCCAGGCTGGGCAGGGCCCCGCCAGAAGTCCAGCTGCGGAGGACAAGAACCGCCCTGTCACAGCGGGCTGGGGAAGGGCCAGCCTGGGAGGGGGCGCTGGCTCCAGAGTACCCCTTATAATTGGGGGCGTTAGGGGCAGAAGGTGAAGGCAACCCCTGGGCACAGGACAAAGTCCAGTATGGTCAGAGAAATGGCCCAGGAAGCAGAGTGGGGTGGGGAGCACTTTGAGACAGCAAGGGAGGGAAAGCTACTGGAACGGGGGACCCCCCCCTTTGCTCAAATGCTCAAGGGCACCAAGATTCAGGAAGTGGGGGGTTAATCCCTTCCTAACAGGGATTAGTCCCATGATTCCTTTCTGGGAGGCATGGAAGAGACAGCCCCGGCTCCAGTGGTCGTTGGGGGCCAAGGGTGAGCCCAGCTGGTCTGAGAGGTACCCTGGGGCCTCAGGGAGGGCTCCTTTGTCCTCTGACCTGCAGGTGCTCCAGATCCTCCAGCTCCGTCACCTTCTGGACCTGGGCTTCATCAGGCACAGAGATTCGGAGCACCTGGTGCCTGGGCAGAGAGGGAGGGGAGACTGAGGGTCTGAGAAGCCCCTATTGGCCATGCGAATCCCCAGGGTGGGAGAAGGGCAGAGGTGGCCTAGAAACCCTCAGTCCTCTGGCTGAGCAGGGGGAAGCATGAGGGGTCTAAGCAATAGATGGCCTGGGCTCCTTAGAGCCTTCTGGACACTGCTGATGTCCCCGATCCCAGTTTAGACTCTACGTCTCTCTCCAAAGCCAGCCAGACCTCCTCCTGTATCCTCTCCTAGAAATTCCTCCTCAGAGCTCAGACATTTCCAGGGCTCAGGAGGCTGTCCTGAGAGACAGACCCCTCCTCAGATCTGGTCCCTGGTCAGCCTGCCTCCCAGGGCGTGTCTGTCTGTCCATCTCCCCCAGTCAGTGGCTGGAGGCTGAGTCCTCCCTATCTCCCCTCTGAGCACCCCCTCCTCCTGTCCACACCCTTACCCCACAAAGTCCTCTTTGCCAAGGACAGCCCCCAGCAGGGCACTCAAAATTAGCAACGCCCGCATGCTGAAGGCAGTTGGGAAGGTCAACTGAGACTGAGAAAAGATCCTGGGGCCTTTTAAACTCTCCCAGGACAGAGGTCTCCTGGCTGTGCCTCCCCCTTGCACCTGGACACTGTCCCACGGGAAGGGAGGGTGGGAGTCCTGAGCTCTGATACCTTCTCACCCTTCCTGATAACGTGGCAGGGAACAGGGCAGCTGGAGAGATAAGCTGGGTCTCAATCCTTTGGCCAGGAAGGGCCAGCCTGGGCCTGAAGGTCAGCTGGGGCTTCGGGCCCCCAGCTGGAACCCTGCTCGCCCACAGCCCACAGTGCTGAGCCCACAACCCCAGCACCCACCGGTGGCCTGGGCGGTAGAGAAGGAGCCAGGACTTTGGAGTAGCCACACCAGCGGGGGCCTTGTGCGAGCACCCCCTTCTCCCACATCCCTGAGTGCCAGCTAGTTTGTTCTTGTATCAGAGCAAGCCAGGACCCTCTACCCCGTCCAGCTCCTGTACCTGCTGCTCCAGGCCACCCTGGCTCTGTCCAGGGCTCTCCCTACCCTGTGCATGGCACACCCCCGTCTGGGTTTCAGCCCCTTGAAGGGCACTTCCCAGCCCCACTCCTAGCAGCCTCGGTGGCCTTGTGGAAGTCGGGCCACAGCAGCAGCAGCTGGGGCAGGAGCCCAATTCTTGCCAGCATCTCCCTCCACCCCCACCCTATAGGGCTCTGGGATCAGGATTGCCCTGGATGGGAACTGTAAACAGATGTCATCTGAGTAGACAGTGTGGTGGTGAGAACCAGGGCCAGGCCATGGGGACTGCACAGTGTACAGGAGAAACTGGAATTCACAAGGAGGAATTTGCTCTGGCTCTGGATGCTGATCTCATTGCGGAGACATTTAAGGAAAATCCACCCTAATCCACAGGGGCCCCCAGCGGTTCCCTGCACCATCTGAGGGCCCTGCTCTATGTCAGAGTCTCGGGCTTGGGAGCTGACAACAGCCAAGGTGGCCCTTTCTGGTTTCCATCTGTTCCCTCTGCCTCCATATCCCACCCCCTACCTGGGCAAACCTCCTATGCCAAGGCAGAGTGACCCCATGACATTTACCCACAGCTCTCTCCTGCACCAGCTCTGGGAAGATGACAGAACACTAAACCCACCCTCCACAGACGTTGCGCCTCCATGAAGACTTGCTTCCCACTCCGGCAGCCTCCAGGCCCACTTCTCCCAGAAGCTTCCTCTGGCTTCTTTCTCTCTCGCTTGCCTGCCCCTTCTCTGAAGTCTCACCCTTGTGTTCATTCATCCTTCTGGGCAGGCTGTGCTCCACTATGGACTGATGCCCCAGAAGACTGGTCCCTGATCTCAAGGATCACGGTCCAGCAGGGAAGTCAGCAGGAACCAACTAAGCCTCGGATCCTCCAAGAAGCTGCCACCAAGACAAGACTAGACATGCCAGAGATTCATGGGGAGAAATGCCCACGGGGGATAAAGAGGAGGGATCGGGAGAGGCGGGAGAGCCTTCCCCAGGTGCCAGGTCTGACTCCTGGGAATGGAGCAGGGAAGGGGGGGTTGGGCAGGAAGAGCTCAGAGAGCAGCACAGCGCTGAGAGCATCTCGAGGGGCCCGTGTGAAATCCTTGAGCCAACATTGTGATCGGGTTGGGGGGGGGAGCCCTGGGCACTGCTGCTGGCTCTGCTCTGGCACCAGCTGGCAACAGCCATGGGAAGTGTGGCCTCATCGCAACATGGCAGTGGGGCCACCAGTCAACCATGCTCCCCACCGACTGGTGCCTGATCTCAGAGAGCTCGTGGTCTGGTGGGAAGGACACAAGTAACCAACTAACGTGCTGGTTCGCCGACAGGTCTTACAAGACGCTGTGGCCCAGACAGAATTAGACACGCGAGAGACTCCCCGGGGATGCTCTCTCCGCTGCAGGAGGCCTGAGCAGCGCGTTTTCTGTGATATGGCGTGAAAAGTGCCAGGAGGGCTCTGGACTCAGCACTATGGGTCCACACGGGAGGGTCCGGGGAAGACTTTACCAAGAAGGTGACATTTCATCTGTGTCTTCAAGACAGGATTTGCCAGGCAGGGAAGGGAGGGGTGCTTATCACACGATCCAGTGCTTGAACTCAAACACACTAATTCCTCCTACATTGCTGGAGTGTTATTTCTATCTCCCCAGAGAGGCTCTAAATTTCCTCCAACCAGGGCCTGTCTTGCAGGCCCTCATATTCTCCTCACCTCAGTGCCCTGCAGTCTTTGCAAGATTTCCAGTCCGCCCCCCACCAGGAAAGAGGGTTTTGTAGAGCCCTTCTTTGGCCTGCATTATAAAAACAATATTTATTTTTCTATGTCTAAATCTAAAGCTGTCCTATAATTTCTGACTCTGTTTTATGTACACTACACATGTTTGGGGTGTTGGTTCGTTCTTAGGCCTTCTGTGAATTCCAGAAAAGACAAGCCCATGGGAAAAGGGAGGAGGGGTGGGAAAGAGCACAGCCTCCGTGAGAGGGCCTCTTGCAGCCTCCAGCCAGCAATCTAAGGTATCCAAGAGTCATATAATCTATTTTCTTGCAAAGCTGGAAAAGATTAATTCAATGCTGTAAACAAATTAGGGCCTTCACTGGCAGGAAGCTGAGGAATTGGGTCTCAGGTGGAGACTAAACCTAATTCCCCAGGTTTTTCCAAAGCACCTCAGGAAGCTGAAAATTGCCTCTCGGTGAAGGCCAATTTGCAAGAACGGGTCCTGGGACAGAGGGCCACAGCTCTGCCTTCGCGTCCCATGGACTTGTCTCAACATTGGTCCATAGCAAGAGCGAAGGTGAAGGCCATTAGGCTGAAAGCTGGGGGAACAGGTGGAGAACCAAGACCTATTAGCATGAGAAAGAAACCACCAGGCTGGCATCTAGATTCAAGGACAGGTGACCGGGCAAGTGCCTGAATGCAAACAGACAGAGGCCTGCTATAGCCACACTGACTGGTGTTCACAGTGTCCCTCCCTTCTTCCTGGCGGAACAAACCCAGACTGTGTGCAGGCCTCACCCCTCAGAAAAGTCACTGCATTCCTAGTGCAGGGACTAAGTCTAAGCTCCTTCTAAGACAATTGAGGAATCCCATTCTTTTCTGCAAGTGATTGGTTTAGGGGTGGGCATGTGACTCAGCTTTACCGATGAGATGTGAGAGGAGGCCAGCGAAGAAGTTTCTAGAAAACGAATCCTCACTCTTGAGAAAGACACGCCTTTCTCTGGATATTGTCAAGTCTGTTGCCCCTCCTTAGGACCATGTAATATAAAAGAATATACATTTCCTTTTTACTAATCAGGGTTTCTGTTGTTGCTGTAAAAAGCATTCCAACTGATGCACTTATTTAGCTTTTAAGTGCTTGTATTGTCAGGAGACAATACAATTTTAAGCCTAGGGAACTTTTATGGGACATGGGANAATACAATTTTAAGCCCAGGGAACATTTATGGGACATGGGGAAAGGGCCCCCCCCTCCCCTGGGCAGACAGTCCCTGGTCCTCCCAGCAGAATGCCTCTGTGCAGAGCACAACCTGGACAACTACTCATGATAGCCCTGTGGCCAGAGAATGCCCAAGCGTGGTAAACAGAGTCTCTGAGACAATGCTTAGAGACCCCCCAACCAAAACCTAGAGAATAGGTTGTTAAAGGGGAAGAAGAAGTCCCTGTGCCCATATTAGGGACCAAAGGGGACAGTGGACTAAGGAGATTCTTGCAGAGAGCACAGACCAGTGCAGTCAGACTGGCTGNAAGGGGACAGTGGACCAAGGAGATTTTTGCAGAGAGCACAGACCAGTGCAGTCAGGCTGGCTAGATCCAGCAGAGGGTGAGACTTCAGCTGTCTCCCTTTGACCAGTGTGTTTAAGGTTGTGTGCAGCACAGTGTGTGTATGTGAAGAAAAGCCTTTGAGAACTTAGGGCGGCCAAGAGGTGGACTCTAAGGGACACCCCATCTCCCCCTTCAGTATCGTTCTCCTTCTGATAACAGCACCTCCGTTTCCCTTCCTCTGAGGCTCTGTGATTCAGGTGGCCCTTGCCAACCACACCCACCCCAGCTCTAGGGATGAGCCAACAAATTCCTTTTTTTCTTTAAGCATTTTCAAGTTGGTTTCTGTCACAGGTGACTGAAAAACTGAGCAGCAACACAAAGACATTCTCCACCTTCAGAAGAGAGCAAAGTGGAAGAAGGAACGCCTTCTAAAGCCCACAAACCCACTATGTGATTTCAGGCAGGGCACTGTCTCAGTTTCCTCATCTGTGAAACGAGGAAGTTTGTCAGAATGATCTCCATGGTCCCTTCCAGCTGTGACACTTTATGATTTTAGGACATTTGCAATTTTTTTAGCCCCAAATGAATCACAGCTGTGGAGGCCGGTTGGGACAGAGAGAGGCTTTCCAGGATTGTGGGGAGATCAGAATAGAGCCCCAGGGGCCCTGAGCCGGCTCGCATGGTAAGTGCTCCCAGGGCAGTGTGGGTCAAGAGGGGCCACATCCTGCTGAGGCTCAGATGGGGGTCGTGGGGCTTGGGGGTGGCTGGGAGGCCGGGAGGAGGGAGCTCTGACAGGGGCCTCTCTGAGTTTTGCTTTCAGAGCCGAGTGCCCAGAGCCTGCTGGTTTGTTTGCTTTGAGGCTGCAGAATTGTCACTTTAAAGTGGCCAGTGGTGCTTGTCTCCAGAAGGGAGCCAGGAGTTCTCTGTGGAAGAGTCACCTGAAGAGAGAAGCGCTCCAGGGGGTCTTTAGGAAACATCAAGTCCCAGCCCAAGTCCCAGCACAGACATCTGGAAGAGAGGAACTGAGCAGGAATGGCCCGCAGTGTACAAGGAAAACTGGGAGAGGGGAGGCTTGCTTCTTACTGCTCCTGAGAGAGAAACTGGGGAGGGGCTTTCTTGGACTTGGGGGGCAGGATGGGCTTCCCCTGCGATGTGGGAGCAGGCAGAGGGTCATGGAGAGTGAACTCCGTGGGGAGGGCCTGCCTCACGAAAAGACAAGAAACAATTCCAACACCAGCGTCCAGTAGAAGTGTTCTGCTTTCTACATTGTTTTTGCCTTCTGTATTTCCATGTAAAATTTTGTGAAATGTTACCCTGTGGTCTTAGCTAGGCTTTGGGAAATGGGGGGAGGTGAGCTGAGGGGCAGGAGGGTGGATGGGGAGCCACAGAGCTTAGGGAAGCTGGTTGGGGGAGAGCAAGGGGCCAACTCCAGACCCCTGGGGGAGCGGGGAGTCCAAGGACGGACAAGCCGAAAGAATGGATTTGCAAAGCAAGTCCTCATTCCAAGGACTGTCCCAAGTACTCAGGGAAGAAAAGCCCCCGGAGGCTCAGCAGGCTGGAGTTGTGCTTCAGGACACCACCCCCTCCCAGAAGACACTTATTTGCCCCCTACCCCCAGCTCCAGATGCGATGTGGCCTCGCCACTGTGTGGGACTGACAGGCCCCATTCGCTGGATTCTCTCTCAGCTTATGCTAAATGGCTGCCTGGGCCTTCTTATGTTTCTAGAGAAGCCCTTTTTATTTTTTTTTAAATAAAGATGCTTTTTTAAATTAAAAAAAATTTTTAAATTTTTTTTTTTTGTAAAGTCATTTTCTCCCTGGCCTGTCTGGGGCTGTCAGAGGGGAGACAGGGAGGCTGGGGGTGCACCACACCGACTCCCCGGGCCATGGGCCTGGGCCTCCGCCCGCCGCCCTCACACGGGCCCCTTTCACATTCCACCGCCGGCCGGGTTTGTTTTTTTAAGAAAGCAATAACCGCAGCACATTCACTGTGGTTCTTTATGGCTTTCCATATGTATAATCGCTCTTTCTCCCTTCAGTTTTTCCAGTGTTTTTTTCTTTTAAATAAATGCTCATAAATTTTACTGGTGAAAGGATGAAAAAACAAACCTAAAAGGAGCAGTTTGTTGGGAGGGGAAAAAAAAACCCCTAAGCTGAATGTAGAAAAACTGAACTCCTGTTTAGCATTCTATACCTAAGAAATACATATTTTTGAAAGTTAAGGTTTTATGAAAAAGGCGTTATTCTGCAATATCTCTAAAGCACGCGCGTGTAAGCCTCGAGCTCTTATTTGATGAACTTAAACCCCCACCATCACCGCCTGGGGCTTGCTGAGGAGACCCCTCAGTCCTGGGAGGAAGACCCTCCCTTTATTTCTCCAGCCACTGGGTTCATGTGGGACCTTGAGTAAGTCGGACGATCCAGAGGCCCCCAGACTTTATATAACTACAAAACGAGGGGGCTGGACTAGAAGCTTTTAAGGACCCTTTCATCTGGAGAGTTCAGTGGCTTATAATTCAGTCAGTCACTTGATAAACTAAAGCAGAGAGCCTGATCCGGGGGCCCCTTCGGAGCAGCTGCAGCAGGCTCTGCTGGCTGCCTCCCGACGTCCATTCTCCCGGCCCCCTTCCCAGCAGAGCTCCAGTTTTCATGTGGGGCAGCAAGGTGCCCAGCTATAGCTCTCTCAGCCTGCCTCGCACCCGGGCATGGCCCCCCGACACAGTCCCAGCCAGAAAGATGGGAGTTTAAATCCATGGGTGGGCCGAGTCAGCTGGCTCACATTTTTTGCCCCTTGCCTTTCCTGCCTGGAATTCAGTTACACTTTGGAGGTCGACTAGGGGCCAAAACGGTAGCAGAGTGGCAAACAGAAACGGCCCGAGGGGTCTGGGTCCCCAAATACAAGGGGGTCGCTGAACTAGCCTGAAACTTCCCACCTCGGGTGACTGTGACAAAAAGGAACCCCTGATCTGGCTAACCCACTGTAAAGTGGGTTTCTGTCACTTAATGCTAAACCTAGTCCTAATTTGTACTAGGCCGAGGGGGAAAAACAATCCTTTAACAAGCATTGAGTACCTACTGTGTGCCTGATGAAACTGAGTGAGGGTAAATAACCCAGGCACGTCCCTACCCTCTCAGAGATCTCAAACTGGTGGTGCAGACAAACAATAGCAAACAGACAGAGAGATCAATTATTATTATTGGTGGGGAGGAAATAAATAAGGCCTTGGAAAATAGAATAACAGAAGGTCTGCTTCCAGTGGGTGGGCCTAGAAGGATCAGTGAGGAAATGATGCTGTAGCGGGGGTTAAGGAGTGGGCTGTTTGAGGAAGGGTATTTCAGACAAGAAGGAACAGCCCATGCGAAGGCCTCTAGTTGGGAAGGAGCAGAGGAACGGAGAGGAAGCCTGTGAAACGGAGCTGGGCAGCGAGGTATGGAAACAAGAGGGAGAGGTAGGCAGGGCCAGCCATGCAGCGCCTGGGGCGGGTTTTATTTTAAATCATTGAAGGATTTTTAAGGAGCAAATTGCCTTTTTAAGAAGGCACGCACATGAAAAGCAGTTTCAGCCCCAATTTTTGTGGGCTGTTGGCTGCACAGAGATCTTGCCAACATGGCTGTGAGAACAAGTTCCAGGCCCATTGTCCTCAGGGGCTTTGGGCGTGTGTCTCAGGTTCACCTGAAGGCCAGTCCCAGGCTTGCCACTCAGTGGCTGTGTGCCCTTTCGTCACTATCCTCTCTGAGCTCCCTCATCTGAAGACAGGGACAGTGACAGTCCTACCTTTTACAGCTGTGAGGAGGCAATGTGTTGAATCCTGTAACGCACTTGGAACCATGCCTGGCACATAGTAAGCACTAGAAAAGGGTTTATTATTTTCACTGTTTCTGGGAAACCCACGAGGGTCCAGATACTCCTTCCTCTAGGGCAATGCTTCTCCAATGTTAGCATCACCAGGGTCCCATCCCCAGAGATGCTGATTCAGTAGGTCTGGGGTGGCCCGAGAACTTGCATTTCCAAAGAACTTCCAGGTGATGCCGATGCCTGTGGTCTGCAGACCACACTGCTTTAGTCCAGGGCCCACGCAGCCCTTTGGGAATATTTTGGAGGACAACTGGCCCCCCACTGTTGTAGCCACCTTCAGCCCTAATGGACCATGGTAGAGGGAGGGAGACCCAAAGCCCCAACTCCCCCCTGGAAGATTCAAACACGTTCCCTCTAGGAGGCAGGAGAGCAAGGATCAGCGGTCCTCAGCCCTTAAGGGACCTCAGAACTCCTGGGGCAGGTGGTAGGAATGCAGGATTGAGGAGTCTACCCCCAGAGATTCTGTTTCAGCCTGAAGGTAGAACCCAAAAATATTCATGTTAAATGGCTCCCCATGAATTCTGCTGCAGGTGTGGCCAAACGGTGGTTTTGTGACACTGGTTTCGTTTTCAGACAAACCCAAGTTCAAATGTCCTCCCACCACTTTCCATCCATGTGGCCTTGAATGGCTTTTAAAACCTCTCCAAATTGTGCTTTCCTTATCTGAAAAATGAGATTATTAATACCAATACTATCCTCCCCATGAGGATGAAATAAAAATATTTATGAGGAGGGCATAAACGTTATAATCACAGACTCCAGTGTGCACAGGTATAACTTGCTTTATTTATCTGTAGTTTACATTAACTTGGCCCATGACCTCATATTTCCACTAATAGCAGAAAACTGCAGCTTTGAAATTCTACATCACTCACATAACTTCCAGCTTTAAAAAAAAAAAAAAATCACTTTTTTGGGAAACTGATGCCCAAATTCGGATTCTCTCCTCCTCTGTCGCTGGTCTGTCCCCTGGAGACGATCTGGGTTCTTCAGGGGTTCATTACCCTGACTGCCTCAGGCCTCCCACATGGCACCCCTGGACCTGGGCATGAGCATCTCCCCTGGGCTTGGCCTTCTTGCCTATACCTAGGCCTCCCTACCCTCTCCTGTCTTTGCTCAGAAGTCTCAACAGCTGCTCCTCTGAGGTGTGCCCAGCCATATGGCTGCCTCTAAGCACCTGCCCAGGCCCCTTGCTCGACCATTGTTTATGTGCTGCTCAGGTGCTATATTGGAACGGGTCTGACCGAGAGTTTTAATCACCACTGATCTCTGTCCATTAACTGGTCCAACCTCTGTTCTCCTTTACAGATTGGGTGGATAGGGGGACTTGTTCTGATTTCACCCTGCTTTCTTCTTTGTCTGTGATTTATAGTAAAACTCTGTGCTCTGCGTCCTACAGAGACCAACCCACGGGCTCCCACAGTCCTTTTCTTTTACAGCAACAACAACAAAAGTCTGGCCCTTTCGAAAAAAAGTCTTGTTTTCTGCTTCAGACTCACACAAATCTATTCAGCTCTCCAGCTGACCTGTTGCTCCTTGGGGTTACCTGCACACACACACCCCCAGGGCAAGACAAACAGACCCCTTACTCTGCTCCCTAGTGGTTGGGGAAGTCACAGGGTGCAAAGAAGCCTGAGGATGGGAGAAGGCTCCTCACTTGTAGCTCAAAATATTACCCCTTTCTCTCCCTTAATAAAGTGCGTCCTTAGCATGTGCCCTGGCCTGAGCTAACCACCAGGATGACTACAGAGAAAGGACTTGACCCTGAATGTGTGGCGCTTTGCTGTGCTGGCTCCGATTGGCTGCGACTCTGTGCTCCCGAAACTAGGGAAGCCTGTGAGGGTGCCGAGGAATAGAAGGTCACAACCAGTGACATTCACTTTCCTATAAGGGGAGGGTGGGATCTTCTGAGTGGGGCGTCTGAAAGGGGCCCCTGCCCCCTACCCAGCACGGGGAGTGAAGCAGGAAGAGAAGCTGCCTCTCTGTGCCCACCTCTCCCTCAAGGTGCTGGAAATGCCAGCACTGGAGACCCACTCTTAGATCAAGCATTGTCCCCTCCGGGGTCATCTTAAGATGTAACTACCACCAGGGGGACAATGTGTATGCTAGTAGCTCCCACAGGGTGAGTTTTCTGTTCTGGGCCCTGAGCACATTGCAAGAGGAGAGAAGAGGCACTCGGAGCTGTCTCTGTCCCCTCCTCAATGCTGAGCCCAAAGGGGCAGCGGCCCAGTGCAAGAGGCCACCAAGCCTATTGAAACTTCCTTTTATTTTCTAAGGGGTCAAGGCAGGGTTTTGGGGGGAGAGTGTATAATTTGGGGCTCAGAAGGAGCCCCAGGCCTTGGGCAGGAGGATCACTCCTCCTGCTCTGCCTCGGTCTTGCTACTTGTAGGGGTGAGTCAGGGTGTGCCTCATGATGGTCCGAATTGCAATCCACGTCTCCTGGGCCGTGGGGATGATCTGTGTGGCCGGCAACAGGAAGCCATAGTGCCCAGTGTCCCGGAGCTCAAAGCTAAAGGAGTACTTGATGCCGCTGTCATAGGCCCAGTCCACGGTGATCCCACTGGCCAGATCTGCACACAAAAGGGCAAAGAAACGCCCCAGAATGGAAGAACAGGGTGTGGCCATGGGGTACAGAAATATCCTGAGTGCAAAGTGGGCCCTGGAGGCCAAACCCCCACCCATCCCAGACCATAACAAGCCTCCCAACCCAGGCCTTAACCTGGGCCACACCCTGCCCACCCAGCCCATTCTCTGCCCCAGCAACAAGAAAGCTCCTTGAGGCCACTAGGCATGGGATCTTTGCCCTCCAGGAATGCCACAGAAAGCCAGGCACTGGGAGATGTGCGCTAGTGAATGCTACAAAGAAGCGGCATCCTGGTGAGGAAATCAGCTCTGGCCCAGCCCAACTAGCCCTATGGCACTGCCCTGTGGCCAACTAGGCCTGCCAGGCAGCCAAGAGCCTGCACCTGCCCAACCCCAGGTAGATGTGGTGCCTGAAGCAGCAGCCAGGGGAAGGCTCACTCACAGAGGGTGGTGCCGATGCTGCCGTAAATGTACTTGGTCCCGTGGACCTGGTACAGGTCCTGCACTGCGCTCTCAGCAAGACTGTACTGCAAGATGACATCCAGAGGGTGAGAGGCCGGGGCTCCCCCACCCACACCCTCACCAGCGGCTGAGAAGCAGGGAGTTAGGAGTCCTAGGAGTTGAATATGTAGATGGCTCTCATGAAAAGGGAGCCCAGCACCTTGAACTCTGGACTTGATCACACATGAGACCGAGCTCCCCCCTCCTTCCTACCATGGGGTCACTTGGTCCAGACCCTTGTTTCAGAGTGAGGGCCTGAACCCTCTGGGAATCTGCCAGATGCCTCCCCCAAGTCCTCTGTGGCCAATCTCACCAACTCCTCCTCGTTTGAAACTGGCTCCAGCGAGTGGCCATAAGGGTACATAAGCATCTGAGAGTAGCTGTGGATAGAGATCAGAGCCTTGATGTTCCCATGGGCTGTGATGAATTCCACAACGGCAGACACCTCTGGCTCCGAGTGAGGGTAGGGTCCACGATATGTCTCTGAGCATGGGTTGTCATTGGAACCATTTCCTGGAAGTAAAAGAAAACCACCCAAAGGAGTCAGATTCCCAGGTTTTGGAAAGACACTTCATGCTCACAAAATATCCATGTATTCTTCTACATTTCCCAGCCTCCTTTGCAGTTTGTTTGAGGCCATGTGACTATTCCTTAGTTCAAGGCTACTAAGAGCAGGCATGCATGACTTCTCCACAATCTGTTCTGTCTGTGTGGTTGGAAGCAAAAAGCTCTAGATGGAAGAAGTGTCCTGGATCCCTCCATCACCATCAGAAGAGATCTGCAAGGAAAGTCACCTGCCCACATTGGACTTAGTGTGCATAAAAAACAAACTTTTACTGTGCTGAGCCACTGACATTTGGAGGATATTTGTTACTACTGCATACCCTCGTCTAATACATCAGGGGAGTGTAGCCCCACTGCGACTCAGCAACTCTGTGGCCCTGTAAGAAGCTCCCTGGGCTTGTCCTTTGGTTAAGTCCTGACTGTGGTTCCATTAAAGAGGTGGGCCTGCCTCCACAGTTGCCTCCAGAGGAAACTCTAGGTCTCAACCCCAGCTTCCCCTATGAGTCGTGACCCCTTTGAGCTGACCCTTCATTGCTGACCCTCTGCTGCCGTGGGGAAGGGTTGGGTCAGTTGAATGCTCGAACTCAGTGTCTGCTCACACTGTGCCCCAGCCCCAGCCCCAGCCCCAGGAGCAGCATGGTTTGGGGGCCAGGAAAAGAGGCACTAGATGTCCATAGTTGCCTGAGGCTGGTCTGGGAACCACAGATACAACAAGTCTTTGAAAATTCTTCTTGGGGACCTAAATTGGAGGAGAGGAGCTATGCCTCTATTTTGTTCACAAATTTCATTTGTTCCCATCTCCTCCTAGATTCTTTGCTCCCCAGCTCTTTCCCTCCTCTTCTGTTTTCCTCTCCTCCTCAAGGGCCAAGTTGTGGAGGGGTGGGCTGGACTGGTCAAGATTTGTGGGTTAAGAACACGTTTGGAAAGAGCCATCCCAGTTCCTCCTCTTGCTTCTCCTACCTGAAACGACTGCACACACGCCTGGTCCAGAGGCCAGGGGTCACCCCAATTTCTGAAGCTTCCTGAGGGTGCCAGAGCACCCCCTTCGATTCCCAGCACAGTGGGCTGGCTGGAGAGCTGGGGGCCGGCCCAAGGACCAGTTCAGGTGCTGCTCTAAGGACTGCAGCAAACGCTCCTCCCCAAGAGTGCAGGTGAGGGCGGTGCAGGTGGGAGGGATGCTCTATAGATTACTCAATGTGCAGCAATTAAATCAAAGCAATAAAAAAACCATAAACAAAAATCTTCCCGCCTGAGTCACCAACCCAGGCATGTTATTCCTGGCCAGGGGGCAATTCTGTCACCGGAAGCACATCCCCTCTTGGTGTGCAGGTCCTCACCTGGTGTGGGGACCCAGGTCAGCAGGGGATGTGCCCCAGGGAGAGAGAGAATGAGGAGCCATCCTGTGGGCTGGCTGAGCCCAGCTAACAGTGGCCCTGATTGTTGTGTCTGCCAGGAGCTCCTGCACCTGCTACACTTGATGAATGACAAATAGCAACAGATGAGCAGAGCGGGGGAGGCTGAAAGCTTTGTCTACGTTTGCAGCCCACGCTCGGAAAGCCGTTCCCCTGCCAACGACCAGGTGGCTTTGCCCAAATATGGAGGAACACTTCAGGCCATTAGTTCTGGTTTGAGCTAAGCAGAATAAACTAATCTTCCCCTGACCAAATGGGAATTAGCTGCCTGCCTTTCTCTGCCGCTCACAAAGCCCTCTGAGCCTGCCTGTTTCACAAGTACCTGCTAATGGATTCATTAGCTATTTATTTTTCCTTCTCTAAAAATGTAATTTGTAGCATGGGGAAATCTCTGGAAGGACATGGTAAATTATTAAAAGCAGTAATCTTTGGGTAGTGGGATTATGGGAGCTTTTTGTCCCCTCTGGGCTTTCCCCCCCCATATATATATATTTTTTACATTGTGTATATATTGATTTTTTTTCCAGTGGTGAAACAACAAACGTTATTTTCTTTAAGAAGTAATTTGTCTTTCTACCAGCCAGTCTGTCTCAGGGTCTGTGGGTACTCGCTTCAGCCAGTTCTGAGGGGCCGCATGGATGACCACTTGGGGAAGGTGTCTGGCCATTTGGAGGTGGAAATGGCTAATTTTACACAGTTGTGTTCCCTTACACAGGCGGTTACACACACAGCCTCAGAATCTCAGGAAACCCCCACATTGTGGACTGGGGGGCTCCTCTGCATGCTTCAGAGCTGTCCTTATTTTTCAATGAGAGCAGACTGAAAGAAGCCAAATTTTCAAAGGGATGGGCATCCAGACCTAGAATATTCTATCTCATGGGTTAGCCACCCATCTGTGGATCTTTTCAACAGCAATGGCACTGTCTCCTGTGGAGCCAAACCCCGATCCCCCAGCATAGTGTGGGTGCCACGGGCTGTGCCCATGTGAGCCTCTCCTCTGAACACTGTCCTCTCAAGACCCAGCATCCCACCCATTAGGGTGCTGCGTTCCCAGGTCCACATACTTGTCTCTGGGCTTTCTGGAGGCCTCGGTTTCCTCATCTAGTCCCACGCCCCTGGCGTGGTAAAGGAGATCATCTGAAGAACACCCAGGAACTGGGGGGGAAGCTGCCCACCCCTCCCTGGATCCCACAGCCCGGCGATAACCCCACCCATCAGCCCAGGGTTACAAAGTAATTGGGTGAAAAATTAAAAACCAAGCTCAAGCGCTGGAGAGGATAAGGAATTGGCTTATTCTATATGTGAAGTATGGCTCTGCCCTCCCTGGAGGGCAACTCTCAGGTCACAGCTCTCAGGAAATGAGTTTGGAGGCATTTTCTTGTGGCCCGCCCCCTCCAAGGAAGGGCTCGAGGCCTTTCCGAGGCATCGGAAACTCTGGGTTGGAAACAGCCAGCAAGATCACCTCCTTAAGCCCTTCTCGGCCGTATTTCAGATTTGACCCTGGCAGGCAGTCCCCGTGCGAGACGCTGCTTCCATGTTTCTCAGGAAGGCTGAACGAACGTGCATTTCACACGCGTGTGCACCCTATCCCCGCACGTGCCCGTTCCTGGCCTTGGCTCACCTCCCTGAGCTAACTACCTAGCCTCCCAGGTTAAGAGTCAACATAACCTGACCGTGCGGGAGACGTGTCAAGGGACACGTCCTTCTCCAGCCTGCCCCCAGGTCCGGCCAACTGCCATACCTCCAAAGCCTGACCTCCAGTTCCTGTTCAGGTCCACACCAATGCAGGAGATGCCCGTTCGGTTGGACTTGTTCTTCCTCCACAGGCGATTCTGAGAAAGCCCAGGACAGATGACCTCATTACTGAGCCCGTTCCCAGGGCTGGGAGCCCCTGACACCCTGGCCTAAGAAAGAGGGCCTGGCACGACAGGGAGGGACAAAGGGAAGGAATCTCTAGGGCAGGAGGAGGCTGGCATGGGACAGGGCCAAGGGTGCAGATCAGAATCCTTGCAGTTAACGCCAGGGTGTGGGCAGAGGCCTGAGCACAGGCTGCCAGCAAGAGGGGCAGCAAGAGGGAGGTCAGGGGACAAAAGCTGCAGCTTCAGAACTGAGCAGCCCACCTGCCTCAGGAACCCAAGGGGCCGGCCCCCAGGGAACCTCAGCCCAGCTACCCAAAGCCGAAGGGACCTCTCCTCCATCCCCCAGACCTGACCCTGGCCCCTGACCGCCTCCCTCCCAAGTGCCCTCACCATGCTGTGGGTAAAAGCAAAGCCATCAGGGTTGGAGACGATCTCTAGGAAGATGTCCATGGCTTTCAGTACGTCTGTCAGGATGCCATCTTTGCCGTATTCACTGACAATCTGCAAGAAAAAAAAAAACAGTGGGAACAGGTTGAGGGACGGGAGGCCCCACTGAGCTCTCCTCCAAGGTGAACAGGACGTTTGCACAGCCAGTGGCTGCAGGCAGAGGGAACATCAGGCCGTTAGGTGCATCCTTTGTACAGAAACAAAGGCTTGGATTTTAAGCAACTAAAAGGCAGAGGCTAGATGTGAGCTCTGTGCTGCAGGAGACCAGCTGGCAGCTGTTCCAAAGGGCAGGAGGGTAGAGAGCACCCTGAGTTTAAAAAAACCAAGTATAATATTTCATCTGGAGGTGCCCTTAAATAGTCAAGCAGCCCCCGCCCCCTGCCCCAGCCCCCATCGTCCATGCTGACCTGCTTGGCAGTCCAGATGCCGGTGGCATGGGTGATCCACTCCCGGGAGTGAATTCCAGCATCTATCCAGATGGCCTGGCGCTGACAACCTCCAGTGCTGAACTGCGGAAAAGCACGGGGACCCATACAAGTTTGAATCGAGACAGCTACAGGGCTGTCCCTGGGCTTCCTGGAAGGAGGCCCCAGATGTAGCCTCACTACCTGGGGTGGCCCTAGATGCCCAAGAGGGGGGCTGTATGTGCAGGTTCCTATGCATGAGCCCACGAAGTGCACACATGTTGGAGCCCTGGCAACACAGTAGTGGTCCTGGAGAGCAAAGTGATCCGGCCCGAAGCACAGAATTTCCCAGGTTTGTAAGCATCTTAGATATTTCTAGTGCTTCTCAAACTTAAAGGGCACAAGAGCCCCCCTGGGGATCTTACTAAAATGCAGATTCTGATTCAGTAGGTCTGGGGAGGACTCTGAGGTTGGGCATTTCTAACAAACTCCTGGGAATGCTGCAGCTGCGGCTGCAAGGACCACAGTTTGAGCAGTAAGGTCTCAGAAGAAAGAAAGAAAAGAAAGAAAGAAAGAAAGAGAGAGAGAGAGAGAGAGAGAGAGAGGAAGGAAGGAAGGAAGGAAGGAAGGAAGGAAGG